CACTATCACCGAGCAACTGGTGGCACATGATGAAAAATGAAATGTTTTCTTATTTTGTCCAGTGATACACTAATGTATACTTAGAAACGTGATGGGGTTTGTTTTCTGAAATATTATTTTAAACGCCGAAAAATTATCAAAACCTGACATGTACCCAAGATTCGTGAAATTAGCTAAAAACATGGTGAGTCATAGTCTCTCGAAAACTTCGCTTTGCTCAGTTCGCGTCTTCAGGAAACCTCACTTTCGGTTTTTAAACGTGTATATAAGATGTTTATAAACAACGATAGTCTATTTTGCAATCTTTTAAATGATGTTTCAAAGTCAAGGCAAGCGTGTAAAAATCGCCTTATTTTGCGATCCAAAAAATTCTAAATTGTTACACTTTTTGAAAATTAATTTTTCGTATCCGGGAAAACTCCAATTTCCTTGAAATTTAGGGAATTTAAAGAGAAACTGTTGCTCTAAAAGCTGATATAAAAATTATTTTGGGGCTTTTTGTTACCGCGGAATTATACTGACTATAATATCGAGAAAATCACAAGAAAAACCTTAAAAATCCTCAGACAATTAGGCACTTTTCTTCAACTATAGACAGTCGAACCTTAATCATTCTTGCTTGTTTTCTCTTGTTATTGATAGGAAGTATAAGACGTAGATCATTTTAAACTAGTTTGCCTATTTCTAGATAAAAATACGCTGTTAAAGTCTCCAAGACTAAGATTTCTGCTTCAAATTCTTGTTTCAATTGATCGATCCATGCGTGTCAATTTTCCCTATCCGGTAAAACTCCGATTTCCTTCAAATTTACACAAATGTATGAGCAAATGTTGCTCTCAAATCTGGTGTAAAAAATATTATGGGGTGTTTTGTTATCACGAAATTATAATGTCTATAATATACAGCCGATTATGTAGACAGACACTTATAGACAGGCAGTACGTCTAGACACAGTCTGCTCAGATAGACTGTCGAAGCGTGAGGATTTATACTTGTTTTCTCTTGTTATTTGGTTTTGACAGATAAATTATAAATTATTTTAAATTATTTTGCTTGTTTATCGGGATTTTAGAGAAATAAATAGTCAATATGATTATATGAACATCATGTTGCAAAAGCTCCGTGCGCGTGACTTGACACATAATACTTAATAGACAAAAGTCAGTTATTGATAGCCTGCTTAAATCCACTACTCAAAGTCTCAATAGCTCGTAAATCAATCCGTATTATCTACTTTTTTCAAACTGAAATATATGTGCTTAGTTTTCTCTGAAGTAGTCGCATAAATCATTGAGATTAGGGCTAGATTTTATTAAACTCGCGATGTGACTACAATGTCAATGTAATTAGTGACGTGTTTGACAGTTTGTATAAATAAACTTCCGAATACACAGAAATTATAAAGTAATATCAAACCTGATGTATAAAACATACGCTGAATTTTTTTGTTATATGCACAATAACTGCATGTAAGCGACTTGCTCTTTTAAGAAACCAATTTGCTAATAATCATTCTTTTTTCAAAATCATGCGGACCTTTATTTATCATTTAAATAATATACCCTTAAAATACTGACAAATGATTAATTTTAAGCAGCTACATTATCCATGACAAACTGCAAAAAATGAAGATATTACCCATACTTTTCTGCAACTTATCCAACATATCAGACTTGTAAACACGATGTCATACCCTATAGGGAGTATCGTTAAGTTGAAGTTCTGAGTAATTTCAGAACTCTGTACGTCGCCGCCATGCCATTAAGTTGGGGCCATGGTCCCGCTTCCCCGGGTCCTGGAATTTAATGAAGTGTGACGTGCGTATTTTGAGCAATGTAAATTAGTCGCACTTCATGATATAACAAAATTGCTCGTTACAAATTGTATGAAATTCCATGTCTTAAACAAAAAACCAAATGTTGTTGAATGCTATTAATCGTCTTCTTTCATTACAATACTTCAGGCGCATTCCTAATTTCGTTTAAAAAATATTTAAAGTTATCTAACTTTTGTTTAGGGCTGAAACACGTATTTCAATTGCTCGATCAAAATACGTTACACTTCATTGAATCCCGGGTAAGCGGGACCATATAAACTGCCCTTATAATCAAATTTCTCATGAGAGCGAAACGCAGTGCCGTAGCTAGCTCGATAATTGGGGGGGGGGCAGATATTCATATATTCGTGTTCTGCGTTATTAATTTCTTTTGAAATCGATTGTTTTTATGGTCTGTGAACACGAATATATGAATATCTGCCCCCCCCAATTATCGAGCTAGCTACGGCACTGGCGAAATGCAAATTTTGTATCATCGCCTCTGATCATCGCCCATGTTTGTATATTTTAAATTCCGATGTATATTAAAATACGTATACTTTCAAACATCCAACCTCGCATCAGACTTATAGTTCTTCAGCGAAACTTTCAGTATACATATAGATTATAGCCGTAGGCGAAATTTTTCAGTTTTGAGAGCAAAACTAATTGTTTTGCCGCTTTTGGGAGCTTTCAAAATGGTTGTAAAACTTTTGAAATGGATAAAAATTTACTATTTTCGACATTCGACCTCGACGTACGACCCTCGACCCTCGTTATAAGCGTCAATTGCATTTAGGTAATCAGTTCCACAGTTTAGCTCCATCACAACAGAAGCTTTTCTTAAGGTCGAGAAATAAGCGAGATTTAAAAAAAGCTTTTAAATGTTTTCCACGTCATTTTAAAAGTTCTTTCAGATAAGGGAATCTAATTTCTATATTCATGCTATTTCCGATCATATCCCTCAACAGGGCCGTTCCTAGACGCGATAATGGGGGGGGGGGGTATATTCATATATTCATGCTCGCTACCGTAAAAACAATCGCTTTCAAAAGAAATCCGTCGGGCAGAAGACGAATATATGAACATACACCCCCAATTATCACGCTAGGAACGGCCCTGTCCCTTTAATTAAACGACTGAACTTGCCCGGCTTCAATGAAAATAAGGCCGAAGTTTGACGCTTAAACTGGAACTGCTTAGAGCACAACATGCTCAAATATAAGTAATTGACTGTTTATAGTAAGTATACATAGCCTTGAATCTAGCGAGTGTACAAGTGTATCTAGTTTATTTTAATTGGCGCGCATAGATCGATCAATTGAAACAAGAATTTGAAGCAGAAATCTTAGTCTTGGAGAGTTTAACAGCGTATTTTTATCTAGAAATAGGCAAACTAGTTTAAAATGATCTACGTCTTATATTTCCTATCAATAACAAGAGAAAACAAGCAAGAATGATTAAGGTTCGACTGTCTATAGTTGAAGAAAATGCCTAATTGTCTGAGGATTTTTAAGGTTTTTTTGTGATTTTCTCGATATTATAGTCAGTATAATTCCGCGGTAACAAAAAGCCCCAAAATAATTTTTACATCAGGTTTTAGAGCAACAGTTTGTCTTTAAATTCCGTAAATTTCAAGGAAATTGGAGTTTTCCCGGATACGGAAAATTAATTTTCAAAAAGTGTAACAATTTAGAATTTTTTGGATCGCAAAAAAAGACGATTTTTACACGCTTGTCTTGACATTGAAAAATCATTTCAAAAATTGCAAATTGGACCCACGTTCTTTATAAACATCTTATAAACACGTGTAAAAACGAAAGGTGAGGTTTCATCACACGCCAATTGAGAAAAACGAAATTTTCGAGAGGCCGTAGCTCACAATGTTTTTTGCTAATTTCGCCAATCTCGGGTATGTGTGAGGTTTTGATAATTTTCGGCGTTTAAAATAATATTTCAGAAAACAAACCCCACCACGTTTCTGAGTACACATTAGTGTATCACTGGTAAAAATAAGAAGATTTCCTATTTTTCCTCATGTGCCACGTATTCTCGATTTTGCTCGGTTTTAGTGGACATTGTCTCTTAAGCCTTTTCTGTTCAGGCTTGATTCTTTCGATGGTTCTCACAGGTTGTACATGTAGGGCAAGGGTTCAAATTGTTAATTTTTGTGAGTTATTTTAGATTCATATATATAACAACTGTGTATTTCAAGCTTAGATTGGATTGCATAGTAATGTGTGTATGCGCCTCGCACTCCCTCAAAAACGAGTCACCAAATTAAGGTTTTGTTTCCTAATCCGGTTTGCTCAAGCACAACTTTTAGTTTGTGCTGCTATTTGGTACCCAATGCCAGCGGACCTAAATATATGAGTACACTGCCTCATAAATGTCTTCCAAACATAATGTACTACCTTCCTGTAAAGGGGATTAATAAAATTATATTAGGCGGAAAAAAAGAAGGTAGCATAATATATCCCTCTTCCTGGCAGCAAAATCGAAATATAAAATTTTCCTGTGTAAGTCAAATATAAACTTCCTGCATGAGTAAATTTCAGGGGACGTATGGTCCCCCACAGCGTGCTAATCTCTATATAGCATTTATTCCTGCATGTATATAAGATAACACGATGTAATAAAATTTAGTTACAAAATCACAAAAATATGAAATGAAAGTTCCTTTGCATTTGTTCCTTTCACAAAGGCACAAGAAAATGAAAGTACGATGGGGAAAGCAACAGCCATGCAGTAAGTTTCGCTATCATGCAGAATGAAACCCAGCAAGAAACTGACGCGCGAAGACAACAATAGTTGTCGAAAGATTTCAGAAACTAAATGTTTTCAGTACCCGTTTATCCTGTTTACACACCCGTTTACCCTGAAAGGTATATTATACACAATGACATCAAAAGCAACGTCTTGATATTTTTATGCTTATGTTGTTGCAATGAGAACGGTGCATAAGAAACCACTAGGTTAATAGTTTGATCATTTTATTCTTGAAGTCGTTGTAATGAAAACTATTAGAATGTAAGGGTTTGTTATCCAAGTGAGAATATATACATTTTAAGACCTAACCAGGAACGACTGCGAAAAATGCAGCACAAGGTCCTCTGGTAGGAATTGAACCTACGGCCTTGCGATTCCGGTGCAGCGCTCTAACCAACTGAGCTACAGAGGCCAGCTGTTGGGCTGTAACCGTACGTTCATGTATATATAGGTAATCGGGTGTGCGGGTTGTGATAAGTAATCGGGTGTGCGGGTCGTGATATATATAGGTAATCGGGTGTGCGGGTTGTGAAAATTATGGCGTCAGATTTCAGCCAATATTCATGTCGATATTAATTCAACATGTTTCCGCCATTGAACATATCAAATTCAGCATGCCGCTTTGATCCAACATTGCTTTAATTTCAACATGTTTCCCTCACTACACTGGCCTGTAGGCCAAGTGTCTTAAATCCCTCTTTTTCTGGGGTTTTTTTCCGTACTCGAGAAATGGAGTTTGCGTTAGCTCATCGCAGGCTCAGGGTGCAACGATTAAGCCAAAATGCCATCGATTCCCTCGGTTTCACGATTTAGATAGTATAGTAATAAGTTCGTATTTATGTACGTAATAGTCGACTCATGCCATGCTTGTGGTATATTTTTCGTTTATTAGCCCATACACTTGTACGCACGCGCACAATTCCGAACTCCAATGGCGACTTTTCACAGAGTGATCAAACTATATTTTACACAGTTTCGTTGAATTTTCAGAGAAAATGGTTTCCTATGGATTTTACGTTGTGTCGTACTCTGGACTTTCTTGCGTGTTGAATTAATGTGTTTTTCTTTGTGTAACGACTCGAAAACCATAAAATTTGGACCCAGCGAATTTATACAACATATAGAAGGATATTTAAACAAGGACAAGTTAAAGGTTTGACTGTTTGACTTTTTAATAAACAACTATAAATATACGTCGTGGACTCATAACATCCATTGTGTACTTGTGTTAACTTTTTGCGTCGCACTCTGGACTTTCTTGCCTAATTTCATAAATTTGTACCCAGCGAATTTATACAATATATTGGAATATAAACAAGGACAAACTCTCCTAATTCCTTACGATAGTTTTAATCAAATGTCGACAATATACCTTTAAATACATGTATTAAAATCCGCGCAGTACTAGAATTAAGAGAATTCGCATAGCGCTGGCCGCTGGGTGCAGAAATTTTAGTACTGCGTGAAATATAATCCGCGCGAAAAGCTTTGTTGTAGCTATACTAAAGATAAGGCGTGCGTTCAAAATATCAACAAGAACTAGAACCATTATTGTATGGTTCTTATTTGCTAGACTTGCCGCAAGTCGACCTCGAAGAAACGCATTTCGTTTGAGGTAGACTTGTGGCAAGTCTACTTATTTGCCTAATACAATAACATTTAGTTCGACGCGAATTTTAATACAAGTATGGTATCATATTTCATAATATAACAAACAATGTAATTATAAACTAGCCATACATTTTGCCGAACATAACTTCGGCCCTTTTGGACATATCTTTTTCGTAATAATATTATTGGAACCAGAATCGAAAACACTATTTATAGTGTTATTTTCAAGCTTGTGTCTTGGGATTTTCATTTTTATTTCGGTATTTACAGAATATTTATATTCTTAGCGCGGCGATCAAAACAACGTGCTGTTTAGGAAAAACCGGAAATCGATTCTGTAGGTCGGCATGATTTGCACGTGCATCAATCGAGCTATAAACGTGCGTGCGAGTAAAAACCCGATATTTTGAAAAATTCAAAATAAATATTCCTACTCTGTGCTGTATTCAAACGAAACTTTGTACATGAAAGCGCTTCAATACAAGATGTATTTTACTTACATTGACTGAGCAAATTCTGAAGAGTTACTAAAGAATACTATAAAAGCAGGGTGCATTGCCTGTTAATGGGTCAATAAGAGACCAATGTCAGACGTGTTTGTTAACGCATTTACTGACAGTACTCTGCCACTAACAAGTAAAATCGTCTGGCGTTACAGTGTAAATTGGTCTGGCGTTAGCCAGAGTTAATACTAAAGTAGTGTGCATTGTCAGCTAATAGGTTAATAGACCTTAATATCCACTTTTGACCCAATAGCTTCATGTTGGCTATTTACTCGTATTCAGTGCAAACAGTTTAAGCTAGAATGAGTTTGTGAACGGGCTTAAATGATGAACGAGAAGGAAACATTGGGGATATAACAGAGAATTGTCTAGAAGTATAAAGTTTTGCATTCAGTTCATACGCCACAAAGGCAGCACTTTCCTTGCGATAGTAACTCATAGAAATAGATTTGCACCATTACGTCTCCCAAAAAGGTCTTTTATTTTTTTAAAAAGTCCATAAAATTTGCTTGCGGTTTAAGATTTGTATTCCTGCCTTTTGCACCATAGCACGTATCTCGTTATTTTCAGGCCAGTGTGAACGCCTGAGCAGGCGTCTTGTTGATGTTTAAATCCCTCTTTTTCTGGGTTTTTTTTCGTAGTCGAGAAATTGAATTTGCGTTAGCTCATCGCAGGCTCAGGGTGCAATGATTAAGTAAAAATGCCATCGATTCCTCGGTTCCATGATTTACATACTATAATAACAAGTTCGTATTTATGTATGTAATAGCCGGCTCATGGTACATTTTAGTGGTACATTTTTCGTTTATTAGCCCATACGCTTGTTTCAAAGAATTGTGCCGGTTTCCTATGGATTTTACGTTGTGTCGCACTCCGGCCTTTCTTGCGTGTTTAATTAATGTGTTTTTCTTTGTGTAACGACTCGAAAGCCCCATAATTTGGACCCAGCGAATTTATACAATATAGTGGAATATAAACAAGGACAAGTTAAAGGTTTGACAGTTTGACTTTTTAATTAACAAGTATAAATATACGTTGTAGGCTCATAAACATGCGTTGTGCACTTGTATTCATTTGCATAATTATAGATTTGCACCTAATTATACATTAATTTGCACCAAATTACTTTCCATTTCATCATGTATTACTATAAAATTGAATAAAATGTATGTTTTCGATTGTATTCAGCGAGGTGGCATTACGTGCGGCGAAGTGAAACGTACCCCCACTTTTTTAATTCTCAAATTGTTTATTAGATGTTTACCACTATTATTAGCCCATCGATCATGATAGTTGATGATCATAGTTACAGTGGACCTGGCTTGTCAGGTTGAGTTGGCTATAGCCGGAGGGTACACCTGAGCCGGCGTCTTGGTATATTATGGTTGATAGTTGCTGATCATGCCTGCATTTATTGGTTGCATTTATATGGTCCAGACCTCCTGTATCCATATCTACTAATTCTCTACTACACATTACACCCTACCACGAAAGTTGCCATTTTCAGGCCAGTGCAAACGCCTGAGCAGGCGTCTTGTTTGAATATTGAACATATCAAATTTAAGTGAAATCAGGGCGCTATAAAACACGGGCGGTGAAACGTGCTAATAAATGACCGTGCTGCGTGAGATGCACATTAGGATTGGCGCGAGCGCGCTTTCTCTAAAGAAAATCAGAAAATCGCGTACAAGATGGCAACAAGAAAATGTAAACAAGCAAACAAACAAACAAGAAAACAAAGGATTTAAATGCGAAGTAATTATGTTTTGTTAAGTAAAATTTGAAATATTATTTAATAAGTTATATCACATGTAATAGCTTGTGTTGTTTGTTTCTGAACACTCGTTGAAAGAAAATATCAGGACAAAAATTTTACTCGAGCGATGAAAATATTTGCAAAATTTAAAGCGCGGACGTATTTAAAATAGTGTTTTCTGCCCAGTGGCAGCGAGATAGGTTGAGATAAATTTGAACACACCAAACTATAGTATAGACCAGTGTTGTAACGAGTCGAGTCATTGACTCGGACTCGAGTCGACTCGAACTCGAGTCACTCGAGTTGCTATTTTCAGCGACTCGACTCGAGTCCAAAACGAAAAATGGCTCGACTCGAGTCAACAGCCCCAAATGACTCGACTCGAACTCGACTTGCTGATTTTGCCGTAAATGACTCGAGTCAACTCAGCTACAACTTGTAGAGAATAAATTCCGCATCAAAAATATTGTGATTGTATTGCTTGGGAAGAACAATGAGCCCTGTGAACAATGAGAACTTCGAAGCTTTATCAGAAAATATATGGGATTTGCATAGAATACAGTATATTCCTGACGGGCATGCCTATGTAGCAGAGTGCCTCACAAAGTGTTTGGCAACTACACAAAATTAAATGAGTCGCACACAGTTTCGTTTTATGTAATCTGTAATTTACAATAGCGAATTTGCTTCGCTATAAAGAACCCTCGTTTAATAAAATATATACAAACGCCGTCTCGTCAAAACAATAACCAATCTAGTGTCAATCATATGTCACTTCCTAAATATGTCAAAATAAACGCCTATTACTAATTAACTTATTAGTCAATCCGCTACATATTCCCCCCTCACGTGAAACTTCGTCCCGAAGTTCATTAAAATATAATAAATCTTCAAATATTATACGTCTGACGTTGAGATGGCATTGATCTCTACGCTAGATCTGTTGTTATCGTTTACCAGTGACAAAAGGACTGCCACCTTATTGCTCCACACCGGTTGAACGCCCAATCGTTCCGGGGGCTTCGATATTCTCCCTGATCGCGTAACGGATTGGTTTTCGTCAACGTTAACCTCTTCCTGTTGGGTTTCATTTAGTTCTTCCTCGATAGCCGGTTCCGTTTCGGGCAGGTTGTTTGCGGGTGCTGGTTCGTCAGTTACCGGAATGGCTTCTGGCATAACGAACGATGGCATAGTTGGATCTAGCGTTGTTCTATTGCCGGGTGTCGTACTGCGTGGAATAAATTCCTCTTCGGTATCACTTTCTTCTGTAACAACGTCACTCTCACATTCTGCTGCCGCAGGTCTTTGACGTAAATATGGAAGTTTCTTCTGCTTTGGTGAGGGTGAACTCCTGGGGATTCTGTATGGAAGCAGTAGGTTTCGATGCAGTACTCTCTCCCTCCCACCATCTACCGGTTTAACCGCATAAACAGGTAATTTTCCAATTTTTCGAACAACCACACATGGCATCGCTTCCCATCGGTCTTGCAGCTTGTGTTTGCCTCTCGTGCTCAAGTTCCGAACCAACACATGGTCGCCCACTTCAAGGAAACTTTCTTTGGTGTACTGGTCGTAATTCTTCTTGTTGCCTTCCGCCCGCTCGTGTATGGCCTTCGACGCGAGGTCGTACGCATGAGCCAGTTGAGCCCGAAGGTTGTCAACGTAAGCAGAGTACGGTTTAGACTTCTTGTCCAGTTGATCCAACCCGAGTGCGATATCGATAGGTAAACGTGGCTGGCGACCGAACATAAGGTAATATGGCGAGTACCCAGTGGACCCATGCTTTGTGCAGTTGTAGGCGTAAACCATTGGTGCGACGTAGCTTGGCCAGTCGGTCTTCTTGTCCTCACTTAGGGTTCCAAGCATGCCGAGCAGTGTTCTGTTGAACCGCTCCGTTTGGCCGTTTCCCTGGGGGTGATATGGCGTTGTTCTGGTCTTCTGGATACCAGCAACCCTGCAAAGGTCACCAATCAATCTTGATTCAAAATCTCGGCCTTGGTCAGAGTGTAATCTACGTGGTAAGCCATAGTGGACAAACACGTTTTCCCACAACACCTTGGCGACAGTTGTGGCCTTTTGGTTCCTAGTCGGAAAGGCCCAAGCATATTTTGTGAAGCTGTCCGTCACGACCAACACATCTTCATATCCTCCCTTCCCCTTTTCAATACTCAGAAAATCGATAGCTAGGAGTTCCATAGGTTCTGACGCCAAGATTGGCACCAGAGGAGCACGTGGAGGGTCAGCAGCTTTCCGCAAGAGGCAACGGTGACAGTCACGAATATGGACTTCAATGTCCGCTGTCATCCCGGGCCAGTAGAAACGTTGGCAGACCAGGTCAATGGTTTTATCTCTGCCAAGATGTCCGACGTCATCGTGTAACCCACAGAGAATACGCTTTCGCATAGCACGAGGGACCACAAGTTGTTTTAGTTTTGCACCATCTACCAGGCGTTCCCGAAACAAAATTTCATCCTTGAACACAAGGCGGTGTTTTTCTTTCAACAACCGGTTAACCATAGTGTTCCCATCATTCACGTTGCCAGTTCCAGTAGTTTGGCGAGTCAAGATCTCGATTACTCGTCCAATTTCTGGATCCTCACGTTGGATCAATTGCCATTCGAGTGGTGGAATCATGTCCACACCAATTCCTTCACGAGTGGGACTTGCTTCCTTACATATTGCTTCAATAGCTGATACGTCAATACCCAGCGTCTCTACGGCGGGACAGGTGGTTTCTTCGTTGGCGGGATCGAAGGCAATATGGTAATCACAAAGAGCTTGGAACTCCTGCTGGACATAAGTCACTACTGTGTCTGACTCTGATGCATGTAATCGTTCTAGAAACGGTCGGAGATACTCTGCGTCTGGCGTCATTTCTTCTCCATGTCGAGGGGTATCTCCTTCCCGAGGTATTCTAGAGAGTCCATCAGCATCACCACAACATTTCCCTGCCCGATAGCTTATCGTAAAATCGTAGGTCGACAAACTGGCCAACCAACGGTGATCAGTTGCACTAAGCTTTGCCGACGTCAGTAGGTAAGTCAACGGGTTGCTATCCGTGATAACATGAAACTTCCTACCGTACAGATAAGAACGAAACTTCTCTGTGACTGCCCATTTCAGTGCAAGAAACTCTCGACGATAGGCGCAATAGCGTTGTTCCGAATGAGTAAGGGAACGGCTCCCATACGCCAGAACACGCTTCTTGCCACTTTGCAATTGGTAAAGAACTGCACCCAGTCCCACGCCTGAAGCATCGGTGTGCAAAACAAACGGTAGAGTGAAATCAGGAAACGCCAGGACAGAGTGTGTTGACAGCTTGGAAATAAGTGATTCGAAAGCATGTTGACAAGTTTCAGTCCACAGGAATGTCCGAGGCATTTTAGCGTTTGGTTCTTTAATCAGGTCATATAACGGTGCAGCAATCTTGTCAAATCCCTCGACAAAATTGCGATAGTACCCGGCAAAGCCTAGAAAGGTTTGCAGTTCCTTTCGATTTCTCGGTGGATTCTCCAACCATTTGGGTAGTGCTGAAAAATCTTTTCGGGATCTGGTTCTACGCCACTTTCAGACACGACATGTCCCAGATAGGTAAGCTTGGTTTGGAAAAGCTTACATTTCGATGGTTTCAGCTTCAAGCCGAACTCTCCAAGACGCCTGAGCACAGCTTCTAATCTCTCCAACATTTCTTCGAAGGTTCGGGCAAAGACAATAACATCGTCGAGGTAGACAAGGCAGATCTTAAGGTTAAGACCAGATAAACATCGTTCCATGAGGCGTTGAAACGTTGCCGGTGCGTTGGTTAAACCGAAAGGCATGCGATTAAATTCATATAGACCAAAGGGTGTTGTCAACGCCGTCTTTGGTTTATCCTTTTCTGCAACCCTAACCTGAAGATAACCACTTTGAAGATCTAAGGAACAAAACCAACGAGCACCCTCCAGGGCTTCCAAGGTATCAGAAATACGAGGGAGAGGATAGGCATCTCTAATCGTCTTAGAATTTATCTTTCTAAAATCAACGCACACTCGGAGACCACCGTCTTTTTTACGAACTAATACAGCTGGTGACGCGTATGGACTCTTTGATTCCCTAATTACTCCGGATGATAGCATCTGCTCGATAGATTCTGTAAATTCTTCGAGTTGCCCTGGTGATACTCGTCTACATGGTTGCCATGCTGGGATACTATCACTCAAGTGTATCTCATGCTCAATATCTGGAGCACAACCCAGGTCATTCTGATCCCTCGCAAACACATATGACACCTTCTTTAACATATCCATTGTTCTTCTCTTCTGCTCGGCATTTAAATTTGTTGCCTCTAAATAAAATAAATTGCTGAAATCATCATTGCAGTTTGTTGTAGCAGTGTCCTCAGTGGCCGTAGGAGTGATTACATCTTTAGCGATCTTCAGTGATGCCAGAACAGCTTTTGCTGGAATGACAACTGTATGGTCAGAGTTGTTAGTTATCTCTACTGATACTCTGCAAGACGACTTATGCGGACCTACCGTAACAAGTCCTGGGGTAACAACTATTCCAGCTACTTGATCAGATCCCGTACTGGTTTCCACAACAACTTGGGTTAATGATCCTGGACAACTGTTTGCCAACCCCATAAGTATCTTCGTTTCATGTGCAGCTATAGTGGTTGGATGACGACTCGTTGATTTTACCTTTGCGCCAAAGCTGTCTTGTCGCTGAAGAAATCGATCCTGTGACTGGACGAATTGGTATACTCGTTTCCAAGCAGATGAAACTTTGGCAGTTTGCAGGAAGTTCTTGCCCGCTATTTGTTGACATGCATTTCTGCATTGTTTCACTAAGTTAGTTCCGATTATAACTGGTACTCTCTGATTATAGCTGTTATTGGGCACAACTAGTGCAAGGGTTGTTAAAGTACCCCGAATACCGACATCAGTTTCAGGAAAACTGACATGTATGGTAACATATCCAAGGAATGGAACCTCTTGTCCACCAGCTCCAACAACACGAACTATGTTCTCGATAGGTTCAATATGTTGGTTAAATAAATGCCTGTCATAAAATGACTTCGCAATTGAAGTAACTTGGCTACCTGTGTCTAGCAATGCAATGCAAGACAAGCATGTCCATTGATAAACGCAACTGCCTCTGTGGCATCCCCAATAAGTTCTTTTAAAACATATGCCGATTTTTCGAGATGGGGGCATTTATATTCGCGTTTAGAACCTCTGGTTGCCCCTTGGCAGAGGTCCTCGTTCGTTTCCCGTCGATCTTTCTTCGCGTAGTGGTGGGTTTCTGCAGCCAATTTGTATGTGACCCGCTTGTCCGCACCGGTAACAGAACGGTACTTCGGTTGGCCATCCTCTCGATCGTCGGTCGTAATCTCTTTGCTCATTACCCACATTTCTTGCATCAGTTGGTTTTGCCTGATCCTTTAATACTTCTCGGACTTCCTTTGCCATGGCAGTGCAAATCTCAGCTATCTACTCTTTTTTATCCCCGTCATTATGTGGCTAGGGTGGAGACTTCTGGCCAGGCTCTTGATAAATGGCTTGATTGGCTCGAGCGAATTTTCGAGACGAATGATTAGAGCCCAGTTCCTTCTCTCCATATCTCGCAGCTGTTATCAATTCTGCAAACGTTTTGCAATTGTCCTTTTTGTGCCGAGCTTTGTCTTTAATCGATTCTTTTATTCCTCCCCAGAATAACATTTGCAGCTGTCGTTCGACCGATTCGTCGTCTGGAAGGATTTCTGTGCCCCGTCTTTTCGCCCAACGCAAACAACTATCTAATCTCGACATGAATGCTGCAACTTCCTCGTTCCCTCCTTGCTTCATTTGATATGCTTCGGCCAATAATTCATCTCGGGTAGCTGTGCCGACATCGCTGTAAAACTGATCTAGTTTTCCCAAGATAGATTCACAGGATGTTTCAGAACCAAACCCAACAATTTTTGCTTTCGCCTCTCCTTGCAACAAACGTCGTATTTGCTCCAAAATAGCTTCGTCTGGATAGAATGCGCCTTTTATTACAGACTCAACTTCAAATCGCCAAACATTATATGTGACTCCTTTATTTTTATCACCGTCACTAAATCCAAAAAATGGGGAGAACTGACGCTTCAATACTAAATGTACAGACGAAGATGTCTCACCGGTCGCTTTCTCACTCGAAGACGCAATGTTTGTAGAGCTTGTAGACAAACACACTTTTTCATCGATAATATTTACCCCGCACGCATATTTTAAAAACACTTCGACAGACACAAATTCCCCTTTATAACACGCTATAGCACACTTGTATCGCGTTGAATATTCTTCAGCCAACTGAGCCACCGTAAGACTTTCAAGTGATTCCTTTCCCTTTATAATTGTAAGAATTCTACTCTTTTCAATCTCAATTTTTTCTGCCACCGTAATTTCCATGTTACAAAAATATAATATTGTTTACGTTGTAGCTCTTTGCAAGTCGAATCGGGAGGTGCCAAAATGTAGCAGAGTGCCTCACAAAGTGTTTGTCAACTACACAAAATTAAATGAGTCAGACACAGTTTCGTTTTATGTAATCTGTAATTTACAATAGCGAATTTGCTTCGCTATAAAGAACCCTCGTTTAATAAAATATATACAAACGCCGTCTTGTCAAAACAATAACCAATCTAGTGTATCATATGTCACTTCCTAAAATATGTCAAAATAAATGCCTATTACTAATTAACTTATTAGTCAATCCGCTACACAAACCTTATATAATGGACAGCTACACTGCCAATCGTCAGTATCGACTACAACTGCTGAGAAAGACATCATTCAAAGTTGACCAAGTGTACTAGGTAAGACCACTTCCTATACTTTTAATTATCTAAGTTATCTACTTTATATTCTATACATGGCGCCCCCCAAAGTTTTAGTTTTGGGTCATTCATTTGTACATCGACTTAGGTCGGACCTGCATGTTCAGCACGACGCACGAATGTCCCCTACATTTAAACTTAACGGGACAGCTCAAGTTTACATGCATGGTATTGGTGGTCGCACAGTCAGAAAAGTGCGGGATCATGATCTTGGGGTATTAGCACGCCTATCCCCAGATATCGTCATCCTGGAGATTGGCACAAATGATTTGTCCCTTTTGCCACCCGAGGTGGTGGGTTCTGAAATTGAGCAATTGGTTTCTATGTTACGGCAAACATATTACATCAAAGTTGTGTGTGTTTGCTTGTTAACTCCGTGCAATCGTAATCCAGTTTTTAACGCAAAATGAGTTATTGTCAATCAATATTTAAACGTTGTGTTAGAACATATGCCGAACATTTTTACTTGGCTACATCGGGGTTTTGCGTGGCCATCGGTAACACCGTTTCTTCGAGATGGGGTTCATTTTAACAAAATCGGTCAATACGCCTTGTATAGAAGTTATAGGGGCGCCATTCTTAAATCTCTCCGCATGTTGTAGTTTTGACAATCATACAATTATGAAGAATTTTCTTTACGTGTGAGTTTCTCCTCCTTGGCAGTTGTAATAGGTTACGTTATACTAGGATTATACTAGGTTTCTTTATAAGATTAGACAATGTTACAGGATTGTTTTCCCCAGCGTATTTTATCTTACGCCAGGGTTTCTTAGGTTTTTACCACTACTGTGGTTTGTGTATTTTCGCATTCAACCTGTAACTTTTTTGTTGGTGATAATGTATGAGTGGTGCGGCGATCAGTTACGATCTGCCATGCTCATACTGCCGACGTTATTATAAGGAATACTTCATTCTCATAGATTTATGAGTTTATATCTGTTTGTAACATATATATACATTTTCGCGCGTGTGCATTTTTATCCTTTTAATATCAAAACGTTATGTGCAGTACATCACTCTTTGCAATATTGATAACTTTTGCTGAGGATAATACTGCCTTTTCGAGTTTTGTTTTCTAGAATGCCTTATATCCGCCAACCAAAACGTGTTGCTTCTACTCCCACTGCTTCTCGGGCAAACCAACAGCGTCAAGCAGTTGCACCTCGCCGCGGTTTACGTTCACGAGCAACCTGTGGTGAGACTAGTGGGCCAGACAGTGTTCTTGGACATCCAACCTCTGCAGCAACCTCGTTCCCAGGCTC